GAAATTGTCGTGTTATTAAAAAAACCAGTCTCAGATACCCATGGGGGTGGGGGTGGGGTTACTGTGTCATCCTTGACTTGATGGTAGTTACTCCTCAGATCATTCTTTATGGAAATGATGAAAAGAATTTTTACTACTGGATAAGAACAACAATCACCCTGCGTTAGATAAGGTAAACTCTGGCAAAGGGGTAAAAAATAATTCCTTTCCTTGTTTTTTAAATGCATTAAACATGTTACTTAACATTCCCTAGTATGCAAACCACACATAGAAATCCTTACAATGGTTATAAGTAGCATATCCAAGTAGTTGAGATTTCTGAACACTGAGTCTGATTCCTTTAAAATTGTTCTTTGGCTCGCCTTAGTCTTTCTTTGGGCTTTAACGCTTGCTTTCCCACCCCACTCCCCAATTATGGCAGAACACGCTATGGTCAAATATATATATATATAGTAAAGTGTTTGCCAATTCAGTATTTAGATATATACAGCGTAGTGCATTCGCTTCATCATGTTGAGGGCCATCATCAATATCCATTTCTAAATTATTCACCACCCTGACAGAAACACAGTGCTTTTGTTTAATTCTCCATTTTAATAAATAAACATATCTGCTTCCCGCTCAACTCGGATTAATCCTATTCAATCTCTAAGGGTAAGGATCTCCCTTACTTTCAGTTGGTCATAGATACAAAGGGAAAGCTTGTCAAGCCCTAACATCCCCATTAGAGAAGAACAGGCTTTTCTTCAGTATGGAGAGTACTTTTCTCCCAACTGAAGCAGAATAAATCACTGGCCCGTTTTCCTTGCAACCTGACACTGGAGGGGGCAAAATGTTTTTTATTTCTAGTGCCACTCTGTACTTTTTAATTTTTGGTTATTCTGTAGTCTGGATCCATGTGGCTTAACAAGGATATAGAAGGAAAATTATGGTTGGCATCAATTTTAAAAGTCTTTGCAAATCTATCAGAGCACAAATCCAAAATTGTTTAAGTCCTAAACATTTACTTAGAGAGACCATTTTAAATGTTGAGGTTTGTTTCTTATTTAAGAAGGTGTTTTTTTTAATATTCTTTATAAAATTGACAAAATGGAAATTAAACTGTCTACATCGTAATATTCTTGTGTTGCCTGTTAAACTAAAACACACACACAACATACATACACTTGAAATGAGGCCAAATTTAGACTCCAGAGGCATAATGTTCTGCACCTTAAATTACAATCAGATGTACAGATCAAATTTTCAGTCTAAGGTTGGTGAGAAGCCTAATGATTTGTCCAGGTTACTATTTATGTAGACCATTCTATGGCTGTCTGTGGTTAGTCCACAGCTGGCAGAATGCTTGCTCTGGGAGGTTTGTATTTCATGCTGCAGCAGTTGAGGGAGTAATGTGGGGGGAGGCATTAAATTTTTCTCATTAAATGAAAGATTAAAAGAAAGTACATATCCTTGTATTCCTGTGGTGGTAATATGCTATCTAAACTGTTCATTTTAATTCGCCATGTGATAGGAAAAGCAAAGGAAACGTTTGTATGATCTTAGTTTACAAGTGACTTCATACCTAGTTAAAAAGAGAAAATGAAAACATTTTTAAAATAGTATTTTCTAAGACCAACACTTGCTATCTTTCAGAACAATTGACTACTGGTAATGAATTCATAGAAGATATTAAGCGGAAATAAAATATTAACAGCACGGAATTATGATAAAACATTAATATCACAATCAAAAATGTCTTAACAGTCTTGTACTTAATGTTGAAATTTCAAAATAATAGAAAAATATTTTTAAATTCCTTTAAATTTTACATAATAAGATGGTTATGATTATACCTCCGTTTTGTTTCTTTTAAATACTTTTACTGGGGGCTCTTACATCTCTTATCACAATCCATACATTCCTCCAATGTGTCAAGCACATTTGCACATATGTCGCCATCATCATTTTCAAAGAGCCTCTTTCCACTTGTGCCCCCATATCAGCTACCTATTCTCTCCCCCCACCCCCACCCGCCCTCTCTCATGAACCCTTGATAA